TCTCTCTCTCTCTCTCTCTCTCTCTCTCTCTCTCTCTCTCTCTCTCTGTCGTCTCTCTTTTTTTCTATTCGGCCAGGTAATGAGCTTCCTTCCGTCGCCGGCATAACGTTTACCGCGCGTCCTCCGTAGAAATGCGCGCGAATGCACCGGAAAATAATAAAGGGGGCTGTTACCGGCTGAACGCGTGCTCGCCGGGCGAATTATGCATCGCGCGTATCAAAGACAAGCGGGACGGGTTTAAGAAACATGATTTATCGGATGGCGCGTCGCTTCCGGCTGTTACGGTACGATGCGTCAAACGGGCTGCCCCGGGCGAATCGCTGTCTCTCGCGATAAGAAAGATTTCGCAGAAGGAGATCGAGGGTAGGATCTTACCCTCTCACCCACTTACCTATCTCTACCTAGCTACCTGCCTCGCGCTGACCGTGGATCAAGAAAAGAGTCTTATCTCAGGACGACCGCGTAGCCGCTGAATAAGTACGGTCGACTCGACCTGCCAGCGATGAACTTCGTGATTCGTCTGGTCGGCGCGCGTATCTGAGACGCCGTAAAACGCCGGGACGAGGTGCGGGGAAGCGGCAGGGCGCGAAAATATATCGAATGAGTATTCACAAGGATTGAATGGATTAAATTCTCAGCGCCGGAGTGTTTACGGGGAACCAGCTTGGCGAACGGGCGTTTAGAATTTATGGATACATTAAAACGGTTATGTATGACGGTGTAAGCAAGGGAATATCGGTGTTTTTGTTATACAATATTCATACGAAATGAATACAAATTTGTGCTGTGCGCGCGGAATTATTGCAGGTTCCCGTCACGACGACTCACCGTGTGCTGTACGTTAGGTTAGGTTGTGCGAGGAAGACCTCGTTTATTACGTAAAAAGAGAGACGCGTGTGTAATATAGAAAAACTTTCTGACTCTCTCTCTCTCTCTCTCTCTTTCGCTGGCTCGCTCGCTCGTTCACATATACGCGACAAATGAGCGCAGTCCTCTCCCTTGCCCTTCCCGCTCAGCCGAATTAATCGTTCCGCCGGAAAGAATTCATTTCACCCACGGGCGTCTAATTACATACTTTTTCTCCATTATTCCACGCACTGTTCGATTTGTCCGCCACTATTCGACGAGAAGAGAAAGATGTCCGTACGTGATAGATATCATGAATTCATCGAACGAGCTAATCGGACGTCCGCGAGGAACTACAGAAATAATCGTAAAGTTGACAACTCACAGTCCCGTGGATGCCTCACTGTCGACAGATTCTACCGGAACCAAGACGATATGTCGCTCCATGTCAAAAGGATGATGCGATGATCATCTTCGTCGGGACGACGCGGTGATCTCGAATCCGAAAGTCGTGAACGCGTGCGAATATGATGTGCTGTTAGACGACGGACTTGTGCGGAAGCGCCAAGATTGGATTGCTAGCCGTTGATTGGATATGATTACGTGAAAGGGCCTGAGCACAAAGACGCGTACAGCTAGAGTGGAAACCATAATCATAGGTACTTATCGATCCATGAAATAGATTGATGTATTGAGTGGCGAGGCATCTGCGGAACTGACCGACCGAGGGCGTCATAGCAGCAAGACGCGTGATTTGTTCGCGTTGCTTGCACTTTTGATACTTTTACACTCTTAATGCCTGTTGCACATTCTTTTTAGAAGAGCTTTTATTGGATCGCTCATCGCGTCGGTGTGCAATAGACATTAGGTACAAAAGTGTAAAGGCCATCACACACAAAATTACATAGACGCATATACATAGCATAAGATAGTATGGACCAATGAGCATCGAATATTAAGTATCAATCATCAATATGGCGACTTAATATTCAATGCTCATTGGTCCATATGATCTTATGCTATGCATATGCGTCTATGTAATTTTGTGTGTGATGGCCCTTAGGCTGGAAGCACAGACTTTTGCATAACGCATAACGCATAAGGGAATCAACCAATCAGAGACCTTCATTTCCCTCTCCAGGATAGAAATGAATGACTCTGATTGATTGATTTCCTTATGTATTATGCATTATGCGTTATGCAAAAGTCTGTGCTCAGGTCCTTAAAAGTGTAAACAAACCTGTGATCGGCGTACATACGTCATCTATTGTGCGGTTATAGTCGACATCCTGGCGTCGGGCAGTCGCCGAATGTGAGTCTCCTGTGGAAATGAGTGTCGGGAGTGCCGAAAGTAGCGATGTGCGATCGTCAGAAGGGTACTGTGAGTACTTTATTAATGAGTGATCTCGTTTCTCAATACACGCCAGTGCTTGCGACGTGTCGAGTCAGCGTCTTTTACACTTCTTACCATGGATATACATCCAGGGCCCTTATTCTTGAAATAGTTGCGTATACGTAAGTTTTACTGCACAGGTTTAATCATATCATAAAATAGCCGCGCAGTAAAATTTACATATACGCAACTATTTTATGGTATGATTAAATCTGCGCAGTAAAACTTACGTATACGCAACTTATTTCAAGAATAAGGGCCCTGTACTACAATCGCTCACAGAGCGTTCAGTAAGCCCTTGCATCTGATTGTTGTATATTTTTATGGTAATTGTTCAGAAGAGCTACCTCACCTCCGATTTTAATAAAAGAAGGCTCAATCGACGCGCTTTTGCATGCCAACTTTTTCCTCTGACAAAATCGTCGCTCTCTACTGCGAAGCGAGATATTAATAGACAAAGTTGAGGGCGTGTTAGGTTAGAAAACCTGTCATACCATCTATCTCTAGCTATGTAACTGGGGGGCTTTGCCCCCCAGACTCTGCTATCACGGGAGGTGGGGGCTGTAGTCTTTTGTGAGAAATGCACTCTTTAGCTTAAGCACAAGAAACTATAGCCCCCACCCCCCGTGATAAGGGAGTCTGGGGGGCGAGCCCCAGTTACATAGCTAGAGATAGATGGTATGACAGATTTTCTAACCTAACACGCCCTCAACTTTGTCTATTAATATCTCGCTTCGCAGTAGAGAGCGATGATTTTGTCAGAGAAAAAAGTTATTTGGCATGCAAAAACGCGTCGATTGAGCCCTCTTTTATTAAAATCGGAAGTGAGGTAGCTCTTCTGAACAATTACCATTTTTATATCTAAAGGAATATGCCAATTGGATGCAAGAGCTTATTGAACGCTCAGTGAGCAGTTTTAGTACTGAATGCACCTTATAACTTCGCTCAAGTAGTGATAGAATTAGACGATTGTCGGATTAATGAATCAGGAATTAGAAATGCGGTAGTAATTAGAGGGAAAGGGAGAGAGAAAGACGACACCAGGGCTATTCGCGACGTCAAATCTGGGGTAGTAACGTCGGTCTGTTAGCAAGAGAAAGAGAGGAGGATATGTCACAGAATATGTCCTTGTCGGGCCACGAGAGCGCTCACGTCGTGGTGCCAACTATCGGCATATGTGATCAATTGCGCGCAATTTTCGGTATCGATCTTTTTGCGTCTGCAGCCAGCCTTGACACACAGATTGACATCGCTCCGCGCGTTTTACCCGTATTTTGTCTATTAAAAGTGAGTCTCGTGCGGAAGTGAGCGTCGGGAATGTCGAAAATAGCGATGTGCAATCGTCAGGAGGTATCGTGAGTACTTTATTAATGAGTGATCTTGTTTCTCTATCTCGATGCATGCCACCGGTGATTGTCGCGACGGCGTCTCTTGCACTTGTTGCTGTAACTTCGTTTAAGTGGCGATAGAACTCGACGACCGGATTGATGAATCGGGAATTAGAAATGCGGTATTGATTAGAGGGAAAGGGAGAAAAACGACGTCAAGGGCATTCACGACGCCGAATCTCGGGCAGTAACTTCGGTTTGTTAACAAGAGAGAAAGTATTCCACAGCGTATCCTTGTCGGATCGCCACGTCGTGGCGCCAACTGTCGTGTAATTTGCGCGGCCATTTTCGATATCGATCTTTTTGCGTCGGCAGCCAGCCTTGACACACGAATCGACATCGCTCCACGCGTTTTACCAGTCTTTTGTCTGTAAAAGTCCCGGTCTAACCACCGTCACGACAAAACGTGTTCGAACAAGTTCGGACCTTGTAATTTTTTGGTACGTGCCTTGGAATTTTCCAAGACTTTATTCTCGAAATATATCATAAATCGGAATAATGGCGTTGGGGCATAACTCTTAGAGAAGCCTGGAGCCAAATATTGAAGTAGAAGTTGAAGTCTTTTGTCCGTCAAAAGTGAGTCTCGTGCGGAAATGAGTTGGAAGTAGCGAAAGTAGCGATGTGCGATTGTCAGGAGATATGATGAGTACCTTATTAATGAATAATCTCTTGTTTTTCGATACACGCTACCGGTGCTTGTCACGACGTGTCGCCGAGTCGGCGTCTCTCAGTAGCCTTCTGTAATATGCAGGGTAAGCTTGGCGTAAGTTAGAGTAAAAAACAAAAATTATTTATTTTACTTATGCGCCTGTACTCTTACTCCCTTACACCGGAAATATTTCTTTTACTTAAGAGAAATATTTCTCGTGTAAGGGAATATAGTGTATAAGCGAAATAAATTATTTTTATTCCTCATTCTAACTCACGCTCAATTCACTACGCATATTGTGTGTAGGCCACTCACACTTGTTATTATAATCTCCCTGAAGTGAGATAGAATCAAACAATTGTCGGATTGATGAATCGGGCATTAGAAATGCAGTGGTAATTAGAGGGAGAGAGAAAAAGTCGACGCCCCAAAGATATTCGCGATGCCGAATCTCGAGCTCGGAATCGTGCAATTTTTCTACCCTTTCCTTCCCTTGTCCTCCTCATTGTGACTAATTAGGAAAATATTTTCTGTTTCAGATTTGTGTAGTAAAGATTGAAACTACAGGGAAGCTGCTCTATTCTAGCGTACATGAACATGTTATAGGAAGTTCAAATTCAGATAGAGTTACAGCAAAGGTAAATTTATTGACTTATTGTCTGAACTCTTCTATTTAATATTTTGTGATTGTAATATTACCCGCGCCCTTTAATAATCAGTAAATCAAATGTAAATGTATATATCAGTAATTGTATGTCAGTCAAATTAATTGAAGTCAAACTCTGATTTGATTGATTAATAATTAATTTCATCACTCATGATTACATATATAATATATAATGATATCTATTAAACTCATTAATTAATATATTTATCTATAAATAAAAATATGTACAAACATATATGTAAAAGAAATATGTATAAATCATATACATAATAATTAATTCATTTTTGATTGTTGATTTACCGGTTATTTTAATCAACTACAATTTTTATCGAGCTTCACACTGCGTGCAATTGTGATGTTTGATATTTCATATATTGTCATTCAAGCTTGTCAAGCTTCTGTCATAACGGATTATCGTTACAGATTACCTGCATGTTCGTGGAGTTTTATCATCAGGAAAATGTGTCGGAATTGTTTTGCAAGCATGAATGTACATTGCATCTTCAGCATAATAGAGGAATAACAACAGAGGCTCGATGCTTTTCAATTAGAGTCTGGAAGGTACGTCTTGAAAATTGGCCGGAAATGGCCGGAATGGAAATTGCCACGGTAACGCGGTAAAGCAGCATTATCCTACTAACCGTAAAGATAAAGCTACGAAAAAAAGAAAACGCTCGTCCTAAAACGAGTACGCCGTCACGTTGGAGCCAGTTGTCCAGTAACTCGCTCGACATTCCCGGGGAATAGTTCTGGGCCGGTGTTTAGGCAATGCTGTCGACGAGTTTTTTCGCGGTAACCTCGGAATAACGATCGCCATGTGGCTCCAATATGACGGTGTGCTTATTTTCGGCTGAGAGTTTCCTTCGCTACGAGCTCCGTCTTTTTACGACCCCACGACAGGCAGATTGTCATGTTTGGACGATATAGCGTCTGTTGAGACAACTCGATAGCTCGATACTCGATAGCAAAGCTTGGAAACATAACTCAAACATTGCATGTTACATTGTTGCAAAAAAAATGTACCAATATTTAAAAAGCAGAATAATTTCCCGAAAAGTCAATATCAAAGTCCGTGCGGTAAAAAATCATTTTGTGTTGAAAATCAGAGTTTGTGTAGAAATTTTCGTGTAAAATTTTTAACATCCCCGTGTGCTAATTGCCATTCTGTTGTTTTAACTATTCAAAAAGCGTGGAATTCATATTCACCATTTTTAAGTGTTAGTAACACTATATATGCGATGTATACATCCTTGATGACATTTTATACGTCAAGTTTACAGATAAGTTGTGTTATTTGTTAATATATTTGCCTTAAATTATTTGTGTTAAAATAAAAGCAAAAAATTAAAATGTATAAATTGGGACATGTAGCATGTGTTAAACTTAACATAAAATTTCTTGCGGCGCGAATAGCGTTACAATTTCGCGAAATATTGGAATTATCTTGTTGTGCAATCGGGAATTGGTTATCTAATAATAACAATAATATTTATTTTATTGCCTTGTTGGATAAAGAATTTCTGAAAACACAAATAAAGTGGCGCAAAAAAAGTGGCTTTAAAGCCAATATTAAGCTTCATTTTAAATAAAAGACTTAATCTTTTCATTTGAGTGCGGCAAGAATTTATCGAAATGCGTAGATATTAATACACCTGTATGTGTGTTTTAGGAGTAATAGTTTCTGGGAGTCAGTCGTAAATCTCTCTTTCTCCTTAGTATACTTCTCGTTTACTTCTCGTAAGAAGTGAGAAATTTAACTTTGGAAATAAAATATATAGGAAAGACGTTCACTTTTTTTATGAGTTTATATTGGAAGAGAAGACTTATGATCGTATCCAAGTACTGCAAAATTATTCACTTTTCATGGTTTCATACTAGGAAAGAAATGACATGATTGATAAGTAAGGTCGAGTTCATGTGAAAAGATTCAGTGGTTAATGCTTTCTCTCTACTCGAAACAGCAACAGTTGTACACTAGAGAAAAAATATCTAAAAAATAAAAAGAAATATTTATTCAACAGATACTAATAATATATTTACTTAAATCTAAATTCTTTTTAATCAAATAGAATAAAGAATTACTTTCATGAAATCTAAGATTTTAAGAAAATGTATAATTTTTATTTGAAAAATACTTCATATATTAGTATATGTAAATATATTGTTATAGCAAAAACTGAATAAATATTTTTTTATTTCTCAGATATTTTATAGGAAAATTGTATTTCGGAATATTGACGGGCGTTCAGTAAGAAAAGTTATTTTGCTATAGTTGTAAAATTCGTGAATCTGATTGATATATCTTGTAGATTAGACTCTTAAGCCTAATCTACAATACTGCTTTCAATTTCTCGTTTTCTTTCTTTTCGTGGCTTAAGGCTTAAGTCAGAAAAGAAAAAAGAAAAGAGGCAGGAACATCAGGCTTTAAACTTGGCTGAATGTAAGAGCATACACCAATCAGATTTACGAATTTTACAACAGTTGTTAAGCAAGTTGCTAAGCTCCGCGGAATGCAGCCATTGTCTCGGCATTACGACTGTTCGCGAGATTGTTCCAGTTTCCGAATTTCAAGATTTTAACTTCTCGGCACAATACATGTTTCCAACACTCCTCTCTCTCCCCCCTCTCTCTCCCCTGGATATCTTCTGGAAATCTTCCGGACCACAACGCTATAAGCTGTAACAACGTCTTATATCGTGGTTACACGATGTAAGGGAGATTGTATAGTGTTGCCGCCGAGCACTTAAGTGGCGGAGAACCCGTGGATGGCGTCGAACAACTTGAGTCGACGTCGAGGTCAGCGTCGGCGACGACGACGGCGTCGGCGTCGACGTCGACGTCAGTTCCCCGACGCAGACAACGAGAGGGGCCGAGCATGCTAATGAACTCGCTTGTCAGCGCGGTATAGCAGTTTGCCAGGGGCGCTTTAATCAGAGAGCAACCGGCAATTACAATCATTCCCATCTCCAGTGTCCCGCTTCGTCTTTCGGATTGCCTTGAGAGTCTAAAATGGTTATGCTCCGGAGAAAATAGATGTCCCACATGCCGCGCCTCTATGTGCGGACCCTTCGAGCGCAGCGCGTCGGGGATGTCTTAGAAAATGGGAGCGTGTCGCGCGACTCGTCGGCGGGAATAATAGCGAGCGAAAATGAAATCTTACCATCACGCTCGGACGCGACATTGAAAATCGCCCGTCGCTTCTCGCGGCAATTTAAACTCTCTCCGCCCGTTCCTCTTGCCCTTCCCGTCGCGTCCCGTGAAATATTAATGCAAGATTATAAGTCTTTTTATTGCACTTTCTTTTTGTTCACGCCAGATCTTCAAGGGCTGTGCAAATCGCTTCGGCGACATGACGGCGAATGAAATTAAAATTTGTACAAGCCGGTAGCGCTACGATATAATTCGCGATTATGTTCTCGGCGAAATCGATTATCGGCGCGAAGAGCCAAAGAAAAGAGAGAGAAAGAGAGAGAGAGAGAGAGAGAGAGAGAAGGGAGAGAAGATTAGGAAGGACGAGACGCCGAGATTAACGAAGCTGGGTGAAACTTGCGTGACAATTTGAATATATCAAACTAATCGCTGTACAGAGCAATAGAGGTGGGCGAAGCGCGCGCCACGCTGCATGCATATATGCATATGTATCTGTACGCAGTTTGATTGTGTTCGATTCTCGATAGCCGGCACGGAGTTCGCCGAGTACGTGAGCGAAATTTCGAGCTGTAACGACCCGAAACTTTCTCGAGATTGACGCTTTAGCCTCGGCGCGCGGGTCACCGTTAACTCTCCTCCTCTCATGTATCCATGCATGTCCATAAACTGCTTCTATCCGTTAGTTAAATCCGAATTAAAGTTCGTGCCAAACGCGAGCGAGCGAACTAGCTAGCGAACGAGTGGTTGCGCTCGCGCCGGATGGACCCGCCGCAGCATCGTCCGTCCGTTTAACGCGTCCATTTAAATTTTCAGGCCGACAGCGGAAATTATCGCCGTGCCGTGCGCGTTAATGATCGCTCCGATGAGCGTAACGCGGTCGGCGAATAGCCACGGGGAAAAAATTACAAAAAAAAACCAACAAAAACACGCGAATCGCGCGAACAGCGCCGGCCGGCTCTCATCTTCGTCGGAGGGGGCAGAGGGAAGGGAGGGAAACTCACAAAGGAACGAACTCATTGAATGAAAATTAAATTTAACTCCGTGTGCACGCGCGTTTGCAGCATATTTTTATTTACATATTTACATATTTCTATTTGCCGGTCGAACGCGATATTTTCAATTCTCTTTACACGCGCTTCTTCTCGAGCACGTGCGTCGTGTTCGACGTTATTAAAACAGATTTCATCTCGTTGCCGTTTCAACATTGTCCTACCGCGGCGTTTTTATTAATATGTCACGATTATTCCACTCGACTTTATTGCCACTCGCGAGCGCTTTTTTTCTATCCTCCCACGTGTTCAAAACACGAGCAGGACATGTATATGAGTATTTTTATTCAAGTATCAATTAAAAATATCGTTTATTTTTCTGATGAAACAGATAAGTGTCGTTCGGAGAGGGAAGACAATAATCTCGTAAAATTCAATAAGTTACGACTATGGAGTCACAAAGAAACTCTTAATACTTTATTGAAAAGTTACCTAAAAAAATAGAATCTTATATTATTCTTACATTCCTATCTTATTTTCTTATGTTCTTTCTTTCTTATTATATTTCTTACATTTTCTCTCTCATATTCTTATATTCTTATATTCTTATCTTATATAACTTTTTTATCTTACATTTTTAGCAGGATCTTCTCACACTGAGAAAAAAAGTTTTGCCAGTTTAACATAATACCAGTACCCGCAACAAATGATTTGTTGATGTTGGACAGCAAATGACTCCGTAGTAGAAAGAAATGATTTGTTGCTTTTAATTTGCTGCTTCAAGCAACACTTTTGTAATATTCTGAAGATATAACTAATTTAACCTAAGTAGACTTAAATAGATTTATAAATTTAGATTTATAAATTATTTATAGATTTATAAATTTATTAATATAGATATAAATTTAAATAGACGAGAACAAAAATATGATTTGCATCTCATGTATGTTTATTAAAATGACAACCGATGAGAAATGATTTGCAATGGTAACTGTATAATCTGCTGCTCTAACGATCATCAAACAGCAAACGTGCTTTTATTCTGATAGTCGAGAAATTTTTTTCTCAGTGTATATATGGCATCAAGTAAATTCTTTTACAAAACCAAAAGAAGAATATTCTAGAAGCACAATATTCCTAAGGATTAGAGGGATTTTGTATCCACGATACAAATCTTGTTTTTAATAGAAATTTTCTCTAGAAAGAGAATATTCTGTTTTAAGCAAGTATGTTCATCCTAATCCACAAAAAAGTTAGAATAATATCTAACAGACATTTATTGATTGATTAATAATATACTTCATTATAAAAGAATATTACTCTTTCAGTAAAAGTTTTCACTTAAAATATAATGACAGCAAATACAGCACCTTGCAACTAGAATTTTTTTATTTTAGAATATTTTCTACTTGGTTTTAAAGGAATACCCGAGAGAGAGAGAGAGAGAGAGAGAGAGAGAGAGAGAGAGAGAGAGAGAG